TCACTTTTGTCCGCTCTCCCTTACATCTGATCTTCATCGTTTCAGGGACCGTCACAGCGGAACAGTCGTCAGTCGTGCGGCCTCTCTCTTCTCGCACTCAAGCCCCCCCTTCATCCCCCTTGCTCGGCATACAGCAGCGCATCCACAGCGCACATCCAGCACTGCAACATTTTGACTCCCTCGACTCCGCTCAACCCTGCTGCTATCCCACTGCTTCTATGCCGCCCGCCATGACCCTGATTCGCTTCCGAGCGGTCTAGTGCCGGAGCAAAGTAAAGCCTCATCGATGCGTGCAACCCTGCCTTGCCCTTGCTTGTCCACCCTGCGGCTAGAAGCGGCTACAAGTGTTGACGTGTTGCTCTTCCCCTCGCAGAACCCAAGACGATTGGGCCGTCGTGTGCAGCAGATCAGGTTGAGCCTGACGCAGGTGTGCAGCCCTTCTATCCCTGCCACCGCATTTGAGGGTCTGCTGGTGCGTTGGTGGATGGTGTACGTCTGCACTCACCGTGAGGCCGGGCCACAGTGCCCGCATTGCACATTTGTACAAAGCGGTCTGGGCAGGCCAGCCAGCTCCGGCTGCCAGCTCATAATAAACTCATCATCCAGTGCCATGCCATCTTCCTTTGCCCACGCCTACAGTTTCCCTTCCTTCCTCTCCCTCCACCATCACCTTTTTGACACCTTGGAAACAGCCTCTCCATCTCGTTCGTCTCACACGTTCAACCTGCTACTCCTTGAAAGCTCATCACTACTATCACGACGTACCGCGACAACGTATATACTTCTCGTACAGTCCCCGTCCATTCGAACAACCGCTCATTGGCGACATCTCAGCCCTGCCCTACTGGCAAAGGTCCATCCACGCTCGTTCTTCAAAGTCATCCCTGACCACGACATCCTTCCCTGACAAGCATCTCAAGCACCATTGGGCAGCACCTCTCAGCCCCAACACAGCCATCATTGCCACGGGGCCGGTCAAGATGACTGATATCAACGATGGCCACTCTCGCGCGTCGCACTCGGTTCCCTCTCCTCCCTCCAGTCAGGCTCACGGACTTTTTCCCTCGCCCAGCTATTCCGACTCGACTCTCGCCTCAGGCGTAGACTCTCATCTCTGCACGCCAGAGAATGGACTGACAAGCCTTCCTCTCCAAGCTCGAAAACAGTCGGCTGACAACACCTCGGCGCGCTTCCTTGGCGGTAATTTGCACTTTGACGAGAACGACATTTTTCTCTCTTCTTCTTTGGAGCTGGAGCAAAGACCGCATTCGGCCAACGGTGCTCCACACTCGAGCCTTGCTGCCGCGCTTGAATTCGGAATGGGCACTCCAGGCAGCTCGCCGACCAAGGCGTTGGGCAAACGCTCCCTGCACGTCCGCAATGACTCGACCTCGCGTCGCCATAGCATTCAGGCACTTCTGCCAGCAAGTGCGACGGAACTTTGTTCAGCATCGGACGTCAACACAGCCGTCAAGGAGGAGGCTCAAGATGGAGGAGCCGCTCACTGTTCGAACGCAGACGTGTTCGAATTCTCAACCCTGGGCGGCAGCACGGGCGCAGACTTTCTACTGTCCCCACCTCGTCTCACCGTCAGTCTGTCCTCACAAGGCGCCACCCAGAGCAGCAACCAGGGCCAAGAAAGCGAAGACTCCAAGCGACGTCGGACGACACCTCTGCCTCACCAGACACCGCAACGGAGTGCTTCGTACTCGCTTGGTCAACACGGAGCCGTGCAACAGACTCCGCCAAACTCTTGGACCACGATGCAAAGCAACGCTGCTCGCGTAGCGAGCTCAGCAGCATCGAGCTGCCTGACCCAGACGCCGTACTCATCGGCGTCCTCTGCAACGGTCCCTGACAGCGTGTCGAGCAACGGCAGTGCCGCTAGCCGACAACGCCGCCGATCAATCGCTGGGGATATGACGAGCGAGATCGCCGGTCTTACGGCGGGTCTCACCGTGCCATTCATTCAAGACATCGACCTTCATGCTGCAGGCATGCCAAAGCCTCCCCGCTCAGCACCGCCCATCTCGCCGGAAAACGCAATGCAACAGGCACAAGAGCAAGCCATGAGCGCGAACAAGGTCACTGAGCTCAAGATTAACAAGCAAGCTGAAGTATGGCCCGATGATGTCGAGGTCGCTTTCTGGGAGGCTCTTCGACTTATTCCGAAGCTTGGTCGGCGCAAAGTCCTGGTCCACGGCAAACCTTGCGGGCGCAATGAGCTCATTGCAGACTACATTGAGCGCAAGACGAACAAGAGTCGCTCGCGCAAGCAGGTGTCAAGCCACATTCAGGTCCTCAAGAACATAAAAAAGGTACGTGCTCGATGACGTTACACTACCATCACCGTATGAGCTCATCGACTTTGACGACTGCCACAGGGTGATCCCGAGTTCCAGCAGCTCATCGCTGAACCAGTCACCGAAGAAGACTTCTACATCCCAGCCGGCGGAATGATGTACGCCCAGACTCTTGCCAGCTACGGCTACGGCGGACTTGGTGGACCCAATCCAATGTTTGGAGACGCAACCTCTGGTCTGCTCTCGCCATACACTCCAAGCGCTGCCCTGTCCAACATGAGCTTGGCCAGTCCGCACACTCCCTCGCCTGCTCTTTCCTCGGTCGGTCTGCCCTACCTGAACAGTCAGCCCGGCACGCCGGGCGGCTTGACCACGGCTCTCAATGGTCTGCAGTTCTCGAGCCCACAGGACCCCAAGGCAGCGGCGTCAGTGTCCTGCCCCATCCTACCCGCAAGCTTCTCCATGTGGGTTCACTGCTCTGCTAGCGAGGACAAGCACGTCTACACTTCATTGGATCGGCAGGCGATGATGTCGATCTCTCAGCACAATGCGCAGCTACCTCGACTGCCCTTGGACTCTGTGCGCATTGGCGCTTACCGTTTCCCTCGCTTGGCAGAGATGTACCACCGCCTGCCGTGCCAATTCTTGTATGTGCACGTGCCAATGTCCATTCCTCGTGCGGACGTCTTGCTCCCTCGCTACGACCACTTCAGTACTCAGCTCAGTCTAACGAGCCTTCAAAGCTCTCGACTCACTAGTGTTACTACGGTCTATTCCCACGGCAAACGGGTACTCTCGCTGGTCGAGCCTTTAGATGCCCCACGCCGCGTATCAGGCAAGCCTTCGGCTAGCGGCAACGGTACTGCGGACAGTGGACACGCTGATTCCCAAAACACCGATAGCAGCGTCGACTCGTCCCCGGTCACACCCTCCGACGGAGTCTCTCTCAACGCTTCTGAGAATCGCCATCGTTTTTGGCATCAAGCACCCTTCGCGACAGACTTCTGGGCAGACTTCCTTAGCCGCAATCACCCCGTAAACGTCTACTCTCAGCGTGATGCCAATCAGTCTTTCGGCAAAGAGCCCAGCGAAAGAGCAGCTCTAGGCATGGCAGTTTCTGGTGTCACCATCATTCAAGAATTCGTCATTGCGACGGACGACAATGCTCATCGCCAAGCTGGTGCCACGACTGATTTCAGCAGCGACAACTCCTTTGTATCCACTACGGATGCTTCGATGGCTGCCAGCATTGGGGGTCCAAGCTGCAATCTGATTGCCGACGTCTCTGGCTACGTCAGTCCTGGTTCAAAGGTGGGCGATGTTGTGCTTGTCATCGCCTGGGATTTAGAATGCGTCGAAGCACTTGGCGGCAAGCCAGGAACACCCACCGTTTCCATGCTCACGGCTCCTAGGATGTCGCCGTCGCCAATAGGTCACTACGCTCCGCTGCCTGCTATGTCCCCGCATCATCAGTCAATCAACATGCAGCATATGCCAGCGCAACACAGACCCACCGCCATGGTGCACACGAACAGTGGTCCAGTTCCCACACTCATCCGCACCCAGGCATCACCGCAGCCTCCTCAAGGTGCTCAGAGCTTTGGATCGATGCCACCGCCATCCATGCCCATGATGAGGTCTCTCAGCGGCGAGAATTTCCACCAACAGCAGCAGCAGCAGCTAGGGCCAACGCTGCTGCGCAAGAGAGGTCTTTCCATCAATAAGCCTAACCTGCAGCTGAATATTCCTCCTGCTCCTTACCTCGGAGGCAACATGGGCGCCGCCATGCAACGCTCCTTTTCGTCGTCGTCCAGTCAGCCAAGTCCCGCCCTGAGCACTCACAACTCCAGCGCTTGGGGCGCGATGCAGCAGAGGGCGATGCTCACACCCATCACGCCGTTCCCGCAAGTGGTGTCCACGCCTACTGAGCCTCCTCCGATGCTCAATCACGATGAGACGAAAGCCCAGCGCGATCGCCTTGCCAGGGCATGGGCTGCACAAGCCCACGCATCTGCGAATGGCGGCAATGGCATGTTCACGCAAGACCTCAACTCGCCACTAGATTTCAACTTTGCACCAAACGTTGGAAGCAACTTGCCCCAGATGCCCACTTTCAGCACGCCGCAGCACCTTGGTGACGCCCAGCTCAGCCAATCCCAGCATTCTTTGGCCTCCAATGCACTCGATATGTCTGGCCTTCCCGACTTTTCGTCGAACAGCGCGATTGGTTTGTCATTTGGTGAAATGCACAACGGCATGCTTCCCGCCCCAGTCGAGATCAACAACAACGCCATATCGGGCATGGCCTCTCCCGCTTTCGACGTGATGATGTCCCAGACGCCAGCAGCTGGCAGCAGCCCTTTGCCACCTGCTTCTGATGGTGACGCGCTCGCTACGTCTTACTACATCAACTCTTTACTGTCCTCTATGGGCATGGCACCCCTTCCCCAAGACTCTTCCGAGGGCGGGTCTCTCGATGTGAGCCGTGGCAGCTAGGGAATCTAGGCGCCGTGTCATGTCAGTCTCGCGAGATCTCTTCTCCATGCTCCGGTCTCCTCTATGTAGCCAATCATCCCTTCTGCCGTCGATGTCTTGCCAGGACATCGTGTATACCCGTCTTCATCCAGCCCTCAGTTCTCGCTTCCCGATTCGGCAATTGTCGCGGCTTGATGTTCAGCTCCTAATCCAACTCAACATCCTCCACTGTTTCCTGGTCAGTCGCCCTCACCATAGCCCATTAGTCATACAGCTGTAGCTATCGATTCCTCCAATCACATCGCAGCTCGCTCGCTCGCACGCACGCACGCGCCTCATCTCTCTTCATGCTGCATCTACACATTAACCATTGGTCGAGCGCCGGCACCCGTGTCGACGACGAAATCATATCCTCTTCTTAGCCCTTGCTTGTCCGAGTTTGCCAGTGACGCTGATGTGTGAGGGCTCCTCAGTCCAAGGCTCTGTTGGTGCGCGGTGGACCAAGTGGTGAGTGATGGGTGTAGGCAGGCCAAGACCCAGGCGAAGAAAAGGCTTGCAAACGTGAGCTGCCTCCCGTTCCGTCACTGGTGACTGGCGGGCTGCGCGTTCTGTATGAGAGGTACCCATCTGCATGATGCCCACCCAGCACAGCGTTTCTGCCTGCATGCGCGCATGACCGAACGCTCGGAAGGTCTCTCCGGTTGTGGAAGGATGACTCGAGTGGATAGGCTGCACTAGATGCTAGTCGGGTCAGTCACTGAGTGGAAACGATGCGACTCTCTTCACCACCATGGCTCATCATAGGAATCTTCAAGAGCTGAACAGGGCGCAGACCGACGATGTTCGCGGAAGCGCAGGCTGCATCGCCACAATTGGAGGGCTCACGGGAGTATGACCAGGCGTTGCAAAGGGTCTTGGCTTTGGCAGAAGGCAGATCAAACAGCATTCATACGGAAGCGACGGTCGCGAGTCCCGAGGCGCTTGAAGTTGCCATCCAGACGCTGCCGGATGAGCTGCCAGAGCTCGGCTTTGGACTGAAGACAGCGACGGATGTGTTGCTCCACACTGTCGTTCCTGCCCTCAATCCAGGTCACAAT